CCAGTGAGGGGGTTGTCAAGGCAGGATGCTATTGCCCAACTGGCCTCTAGTACTGGCAGGAGGTCCACACCATTGCATGGTAATGGTTTCCACCCCGGTGTGTTTACTGTCAAAGTTCAGCCTCCGTCCTCCACAGCTAACAAAGGCTGACATTGTACCAGCGGCTCTCGGTATATTACACTGCATTATGACTTGTTTACCTGCAGGAAGAGCCGCGCCGTGTGGATGAGTTTTTGCGGGATATAAAATTGGGGTTTGTGCAGACTTGTTTGAACTCTGGAGTCATTAGTGTCTCACATCTGGCACGGTTCCAGATGTCAGTGTTCATCAACAGTTCATATTTTCTGTCCGACACCCTCACACACTCCTGTCTAGTACATACTCAGCACTTGTATCATGGTCAGGAAGATGAGGTTGTACCAGGATACCAGTGATATTTACCTTTTTAACCATATATCTGTAAACAAACACAGTTATACATGTAATTGTATAACAAAGAATTTGTTAAACGCAGCTAGAAGTTAGCAGAAGCATTTTTAAAATTTATAAAAATAGTGATAAATAAGTTACAAATATGCTAGAAGTTAGCAGAAGCATTTTTAAAGTTTATAAAAATAGTGATAAGTAAGTTACAAAGATTATGCAAAAAAAGCATATAAACATATAAGCATATAAAAAAGTTGTGTCTTGTTTCTCTCTAGGGGCTGCCACAGCTTGTAATCTGCAGAGTTTTCGACACACCTTTTACACCAGTTGCCCTCACTGATGCAACTCTCCACATTTATTCAGTCAGACATTGCAGCAGACGTTACAGCAAAATCTAAATAAAAGGCAACATTTTGCAAAACGAAATGTACCAAAAGTTGACTTGGGAAAAGTGACTTCAGTTGATGGGGTTGGTTAATGTAGGAGAGAGTGTTGACCAGATGACCAGATACATGAGAACATGAGAGTTGACAAAGTTCTCCAGGAAGTTCTTCTAGATTATATGAAACTAGGACAAAGTCATAAACTGCAGGAAAGATTTGAACAAAGGAGAATTCAGTCGATCGATTCCTGGGTCAAACGTTATCGTGTAAAGCTGTCACATGACCTTCCACTTCACCCTGTCAGTGCTGCTCGTCCTCAGCTGGGACAATGCATCTGATGTGGAGATATTTATGTTGATGTTTTTTTAGGTGCAGGGTGTGAGCTGACAAAATCTGAGGACAATGAAGTGGCCTTTGGATGATGAGTAATCCTTTAGTAATCACCGCCTCTTCAAGGGTAATTTTCACTTTTATTAACCTTGAAGGGAGGAGAGCCTTCAAGGGAGAAAGTTTCACGCACCTTTGGCAAACAGGCTGATCAAAGTATCTGCCGACTTTGTTCTGTACTTTGCAAGTGCGCATCCAGAGAAAAACAAAGACGCACACAGACACTGGCTGTTGCTCTTCCAACGTTTTAGCAAGTCATCTTGCAGACAGGCTTTCCTACAGTGGAAAAACAAACCATAAACACTAGAGACTCTGTTCAGTTCTTTATTCATCTTTGGCGTTTCATCATTCAGAAGGTCACCAGGAGCTGAAGGAGCTGGAGTGACTGAGTTCAGACTGCTTTTCCCAGAAATCTGGATTCTTTTAGACAGTAGATGTGAATGAAGATGTGATAAAAACGTAAAACCGCAGTTAATTATGTTTGTCATGAACCTGGATAAAATGTATTTATTTGTTCTGATTCCACTCTTGTCATTATCTGATCATTCATGGGGTGACTGGGTTGACTGCAGCCAATCCCAGTATCATAGGGTGAGGGTGGGTAACACCTTTGACATTTTCCAGTCCAGCAGAGACAAACAATCTACAGTGTCCAAATCAAACTATTAGCACATTTCACACTTTTACATGTTCAGTATTGCAACCCCAAGCACATACAGAAAAACATGCAAACTCCATAGAGAAAGACTGGGTATGAAACCAACGTATCAATGATCATCCTACAGTAAGGCAAGATCATCAACCCCTCTTCCACCGTGTTCTCCCATACAATGAAAATACCAAATAATTAACCGAATTTTTATTGAGAATAATGTACATCGCTCCATACAATGAAAATACCAAATAATTAAGACATAATGCCGAATTTTTATTGAGAATAGTGTAGAGTGTTGAAGCTGTCTAGAATGATGCCTGTGCCAACAACAGACTGATAAGAGGGTGTTTTGAAAGCCTGTTCTGTTCACTGTCTGCAGTAAATACAAACAGAGCAGAGTTTCTTTTCTTTCTTCTACAGTAGGATCTGCTAAGAGGAGTTATGCTGCTGTCTCATCAGTGATATGATAACATCTGCCACACGGCAAAATGTCACTAAGCTGTCCTCATGTGGTGCGTGTACAAGTTCCACTTGTTTCCACTGGTGGGCGCTGTGGAGTGACTTAGATTCCTACTGCAGCACGCTGTGTGTGAATGACGGGTGGAAATTGGTCCACTGTCTGCACGGTTATTGAAAAAAAAAGAACGATTTTGACTTTTATTGCACTTGAGTTTGGAATATGTGAATGTAGAACTTGTGCAGAATGCATTTTTGAAATCCAAATCTTACTTGTCCTTTTTATCGCTCTATCGTTGGTGCGTTCTAACTCATGTGAGGACAGAAACGTGCACTGGAGCATGTACTGTGCATCCGGGAGAGGCTTCTGTGTGGGTTAATCTGAAAAACTATGCGGGTCGTGAAATAAGAAAAGATCCCTACGTCTTTAAAGTTTATGTAGCAACAGAGGGATTGTAGCGATAATGCTATTAGGGCAGCAGATCAGTTACTTCTGACGCCCCAAAGCCTCGGGGAGTTGGCTCAAGATTGCTTCTCTTTGATAAGGTCCTCAACAGGCAACTTCCACAGCCAGGGAATCGTTGGCACAACGTCAGAAAAAAGCCAATAAAGCGGGGACGATTTAAAACGTTCTTTACCCAGAGTGACTGCCACGTATGTGTACGCTGCGGTGACACTTTGGTTGATTTTATTACGTGGATATTTGTATTTTTTTCGGACGCGGAGATCTGCATTTGTTTTTATGGTACTGTCAGGACCTGTCGTCACTTTGAAGTGCGCTGCTCCAGCCTCTCGCTTCAGTTGGTGTTGGAGTCGCCTACAGGAGAGACCTACGGTGTGGCATGGCAGCCTGAAACCATAGGGAGGAGGAGAAAAGGAGGGAGGGAGGAAAAAAGGAGGTATTTTTCTCTCTCGAGTGCTTTTACTCTCCGTAAACAGACTCGAACCTGAGCGGACTGTATGTGGACACGCTGTGGAAAAACCTCTGTGGATTATACGCGCATTCCCTTGGATAAAAACAGGTGTTTCTTAAACATTTGAGGAGAGGACTCCGTGTATCGATGGTAAGTTACCAACTCTGTGTAAGTGAACGTGTGTGTGCCTCCTCAAACTGCCCCCCATTGGAGTTCTCTTTGATGTGCTGTTGACTCCTTTGAAGTAAGGTTCAGTGGAAAATAAGCAACTTTGTGTCGTTTTAAGACTTAAAAATCCCTCAGTGGTTTATATATCATTCTCTTCATCTTCTTTTCCATGTCTCTTCATTTTCATACTTTTTAGTATAAGTTTTCTTTTACAGCAATGGTCTCTTTTGTGGAATTCCTTCCCCCACGAGATCTAAGACTTTGGTGTGTAGCCTGCACGGGATTGGACATTAAAGGGGGTTATTTTCGCTTCAAGTTTGACATCAAAGAAGCTTTTTTAAAAAAAAAATTAAATAAAAAAAACTGCAGAAAGCGCAATAGTGTGCATTTGGATCGCGGTATAATTTTAAATTCTCTCGGGGAATGTTTTACTGGTATTTTGAAAAGTTTCCCTTCTACCAAACGGTGTTTTTCCAAGTTCAGTGAAATGCCATTGATACAGTTACGAACACACTGTAGCAGCGACATTTTTGTACTTTGGACCAAAAAGCCGTGTGAGTAGTACAGTTGTTCTCAAACTGAGTCTCTTCATAGCGACATCATTTCTGGACGATTCGAGATTGTATTCAATTTTTTTAAATTCGTCCTAAAGGATATGTAAAACCCTACTGCAGGTCAATAAAATGGTTTCTCCAGTGAAAAAAAAACTGCTTTGAAGAAAAGAGACAAAAATGGCATCACATTTACCGGTGATGGCGTCTGACAGTAACATGCATAGAAAAAAATCCAACAAAACTGGACAGAACACTTAATCCAATGATCATATTTTATCAAGTGACCCATTAAATTGAGCCCCGTCACCTCATTTTGGGTCACGACCCATTATTTGAGAAACTGTGGTTTAGTCCAAATCCAAATCTCAGCCTTGTCGACAGTTAACGATTTCACTCATGGTTTTCCATCTCCAATGAGTTTGTCCCGCAGCATCGTGTCCCCACAGAGACCCGGGGACAGGCTCACTGTGACGTTTCATAGCGTGTAGTGTCAGGCAGGGGGGGCAGATGCATGTTTGCGCCCCCTGATTTGTGCACTAGAAAGGATGTGCAACCGGCAACGTAAAAAGCCCCGTGCGTAATTACCCCCAAATACTTGACTAACTAAGGACTTATTAACGGTGTTCAAGTGA